AATTAACGATCTAATAATAAACGGACCTTATACAAAATTAACAAAGGATCTAACAAAGCCTTTGGAAAACATAGAGCTATACAATATATAGAGCTTTATTCAAGTATAAAGATTGCTTAACAAGTTATCAGATAAGATTAATTACACCTCATTACAGTAAGACCCCTTATTTTTATGGAGTACCGAAAGTTCATAAAACGAATATACCACTTAGACCCATTTGCAATACCATGAATTATTGTAGTGAACTATCAAAATTTTTATTAAATATACAACCATTTGCAATTAAAAGTGACACACTTATAAAAAATACACAACATTTTTTAAAAAAATTATCAAATATTGAATTTAATTCAAATAATATTTTGGTAAGTTTTGACATAAATAGTTTATTTGCGAATGTACCATTAGATAAGACTTCAAATATAGTCAAGACAAAATTAGAGAGTGATGATACATTGACAACTAGAACAAGACTAAACATATCAGCTATAATGGAGTTATTAACAATATGTACTGATAATACATATTTTCAACTAAATAATGAATTCTATCAACAAAATTTAGGTCTAGCAATAGGCTCTAGTTTATCTCCATTATTAGCCGATATATTTATGGAAGATTTTGTAACAAATATTATTTCTAAACAAAATTTAAAACCCACAGTATGATTTATTCTCAATATGGCCTTATGGATCAGAGTTGTTGGACACATTCCTGAATGATATAAACGATAAAGAAGAGACAATAATGTTTATCATGGAAAAGAAATATAATAACACACTACCTTTCTTGGATGTTTTAATCTCTAAGAACGATACTGAATATGAGACTCAGGTGTATAGAAATCCAACACACACCAACAGATATTTAAATTTCAAATCCAATCAAAATATTAATATTAAAAAGGGAATTATTAAATCCTTATACGATCGAGCCAAAATTGCTTGTTCTAACGAAAATTCGTTCTTGGAAGAAAAACATTCGTTAACATCTGTTTTATTAAAAATGATTACCTATCCTTTATCGTTATAAATAAGGAATTTCCAACAATCGACCGAATAGAACAGAACAATTTAGAACGACATCCTATAGCATACACAAGGAATAATACGAAAAAAATAATAATACCATTCATAAAAGCATTATCAGAAAAACATAAAAGGATAGGAAATAAATTCAACATTTCAACAACATTCAAAACAACAAACAAATTGAGATCTATTTTGTCTAAAACCAAACCTAACAATGAACAAGAAAGGACAAAGAATTGTATTTTTAAAATATCTTGTGAATGCGATCAGTTTTATTTAGTTGAAACATCAAGGCAATTAAATGATAGAATAAGTGAACATCAATACAAGAAACGGATGGTAAAAAAGAGAAAAATCAAAGAAGCGGCTCTAATTATGCTAAATGAGACCATTGTGCCGCAAATGCCTCGGCAGAATGTAATAGGATCTGGTTACCCATATTGAAAGAGGAAGTTATTAAAAAGAAAATACCAGTATTAGTAAGTCAGTAACATATAGATAACAAACATATAAAATCGGAGTCCAACCCTGCGTTTAGTTGATAAGGTTCCGATTAAAATCTGCTCTTACTAAAACTAACTTTTCAGCGGTTTATAATCAAGAATCGTAAAATATTGTTAGCTAAATAGTGTATTTAAACAACAAAGTTTCTTCACACAAAAAACAAACTGTGAGTACATTACCAGTTTAATACAAATTCAATATCTTTAAATATTATACATAACCCATAATTCAATACAACACATCAATTAATCCGGTTTCTGGTTTTTTGGCAACTTCGACAGAGAACATAGTTCTCTGACTTCGATAAGTCGAACTAATTAGCCGATACAGGACCGGCTTTAGAAAAATTATATCAAATGAAACCAAAAACTAAAAATGGATGATTCTGAAAATATTAGTATACCTACTACATCATCAACATCGACATATTTCAATGCAGTAAGCAACTTCAATTTTCCTTCAAAAGAACAAGCCATTATTCTGTCAGCTATCCAAGGTATTAAAATACATGGATACATAGTAGCCATAGGGTCTCTACTCACACCAAAAAATGTTATCTCTGCATCACGAATAGCGAATAACCGAGTTTGCATTTACTTGAACAATACTAGCATAGTACATACCTTACTAAACAACCATAAAACTGTAGTCATCCAAGGCAATGAGAAATTCGAAGACTTATTACGCCAGCAAGGAGACTAGTAATATCAAACATCTGCCACAGCATCCCGAACAGTATTCTAGAAATGAACTGAAACAACTAGAACTAACTGCAGTATCCAAATTAACGTTTTTAAAAGTTGGCATGCTCGAGTCTGAGTATAGTCATGTCTTAAGCGTTTTTTTGAACCTATTCTCTATCCTTCCATTGTTGGATATAGGTCTCCCCCAGTTCTCTCCATCTTTTCCTATCTTGAGCTGTTCTCTGCCATGTGGGACCTCCTTGTTTTCTGATGTCATCTTTCAACCTCATCTGTGGTCTGCCTCTTGATCTCTTTAAGAGATCAAAGCTAAGCTTTAGGCTGCAGATATTTGTCTCTCTTATAATCACCAAACCAATTACAAATACAATCTTAATAACCTATGACAACACTCCTTACAGAATCTTCCTATCCCTAGATGGTTTAAATTGCTCTAGATGCAATACTACTGGCCACAAAGATGAAAACTGCACATCAACATCAACTGGTACAGAAACACTTAAAGATCCATTTCAAGTGGTACAAACATATACCTCAGAACTCGAAGCCATGGAACTAAATCAGAATAATTCAGCAACAAATATTTCAGATGATACAACCAACTGTTCCAACCCTATTTCTGCAGATATCCCAACGACAAACAATTCGCTTATAGTACACAATATACCTTCAACTACAGCTAACAGCAATAATACTAAAACAACCAATCAAGCAAAAAGGCAAATTTATGTCAAAATCTTAAAATTCTTAAAATTTTAAAATCTTAAAATTTAAGGCAAAATCCAACATATGAATCTTCCCGACTGAAGAAAGCGACTACGATTTATCTCAATAGTCCAATTAAATTCATTCTTTAATGGAACTTGAATGGCTATTATAGCCACATTGAAAACATTAAAATGCTAATCAATGAACTGTCACCACTAATAATATGTCTACAAGAAACTCAGTCTTTCCAACAATCAAGCAAAACTGAAAAATTATATGGCCTATACAAAAAATCGAGCAGTACAGCAAATATCCAGTGGCGGAATCGGAATTTTTGTACATTCAACCATCCAATCCAAAGAAATTCCGTTAAATACGAATCTGGAAGCAGTAGCAGTTTCGGTAATACATCATTTTAAAATCAATATATGCAACCTATATTTACCACATCCTGACGAAACTACTCCATTAGAACTTCAAAATGTAATTAAACAAATTCCATCTCCAAAATTAATTTTGGGTGACACAAACTGTCACATCGCATGGGGATCCCAAAAACAGATAAAAATGGACGAATATTATTAGAAGCAATTAATAACATAAAACTAGTTTTGTTAAACACAGGAACACCTACTAGATTCAATGCACATTTTCCTCCATAGACTTATCTATCAGTGATTCAACTTTAGCTCCATTTTTACAGTGGAATACATTGGACCACCTATACGACAGCGATCATTTTCCAATAATAATTACTCATGACAAAGATGAAAAATCCTGTAACAAGAATAAATCTTCTAAAAGTTCTTTCCAATCACAAATGGGGCACAACTATGCTTCTACGGTTATATCAAGCTCTAATTAGAAGCAAACTAGATTACAGATGTATATGCTACGAAACCGCTACTAAATATCAATTGAACAAACTGGACATCATCCAATCCACAGCATTACGCATAGTTTTCGGAGCTTTCAGAGCCACACCAATAAATGGTGTCAAGCAGATGTATCCTACTCATGCCAATTTAGCACTAATAAAAGACATGCTATACAATGCCCAAACACGCGGTAAAAACAACATTTTTATGGGTACCATCCCATGTTGGGATAAAGGGTAATGAAGCAGCTGATAAAGCAGCAACAGAAAGTATCAATAACATGACAATTCCGATTATGCAAAACATACCAATTTCAGACCAAAAAACATTAATAAAAACTTACATTAACAAAACCTAGCAAGAAAAATGGAGCCAAACAGAAGCAAAATTAAAAATTATCAAACCAGATGTTACTTCTGCTTTACTACCGCCCCAGTTCAAAGACATGACCAAGTAGTTATTAACAGACTGCGGCTAGGTCATACAAAATTTACATATGGATACATCATCTCCAAGGACCCTCAGCCGATTTGCCACACCTGTCAAATACCATTTTCAGTCCAACATATAATAATAGACTGTCCAGTGTACTGAACAGCAAGATCGACAGCAAAAATAAAACTCAATTTGAAAAAAAAATGAATTTGGTGTTTGGTGTTTATTGAAGGTAAACTATACGCACCACCAAATACTTAATGTTGGGATAGTATAAGGTTTTTTTTCCTGGTTTTTCCCTTTTAATTTACTATCGAATCACTAACAGGAGAGTTTTACTGTCATCATGTCAAGTGTTTGTCTTTTTAAAGACGAATTACACGCTATGATTTTTTCTAGCGGATAATCTCTCAAGTTAAAGTTGATTTCATGAAATCGAATGAACAAGTAAAGTCGTCCCAGGAACGTAACTCAACAATATTGGCAATATCAATTTTAAGTCGTCTACTTTAAAATGTATAATGTATGTCTGAATTGTCAATATAAATGAGTCAGATAAAAATAAATTATTAGAAGAATTTTTTCACCAAGCAACAAAAAAAAAAACAAAAATTTGTTTTATTTACTAATGTTTATATTTTGAGAACGATTTCTGACGTACTTTAATCTTTAATTGTGGCTTATTTCGATTTAAATAGTATATTTTTGGTAGAAATGCAATGCAAATAAAACGCTATTTAGTATATTAATGTATATATAATTTATTAAAATATATGAAAATTTTCGTCAACGAGTTAAAACATTGTCAATAAGTAACTAACATTTAGTAACAAAAATATTTTTAGTAAAAAATTAAGTTAAATAAAATATATGATTGCATTTCACACAATTGAGAATTAACAATTATTGTTAAATTTCTTTAATATAGATAATACATTACTCAATGTTGGTACCAAAAACTTACAACAAATGAAATTGCAAGAATTGTATTCCATTGTGTGACATCAGAAAAACCTAATTCACACTTTGTTAAATAGCATCTGGACTTAATATATCCACATACTCGTATATAGTTTTTCATAAATAGCTCTAAAATTATTAATCTTAATTCTATTAAGGCAGTATTACAGGCACTTATAAGAACTGGTAAGTGTTAAGTACCAAAGGTTGTCCATAATGATTAGTTCATACAGGAAATATTTCACTTTTCATAGTATGGCACAATTATAAATAAAAATCTTCATTTTAGGTATTTTTAACGCATTCGAGAAATCTTTTTGGCTTTGTCAACACATGGTGGAGGGGGTGGAGGTTTATTGGTGACCATTCTACTGTAGAGCCTGAAAAAAGAAAAATAAAAATTAATCAGATTTGACAAAAAGTTTCATACCAACCAAAACACATGCGTTTTAGAAGTATTTCACTTTAGTTAAACAAAATTCATAGAGAAAAAAACCGAGAATTCATCAAATCACCTAATAAATTATATTAAATAAATATTCCTCCCAACCAGGTCATAAAATATCTCAAAATATTTTATTTTTACCCAACACCTTTTAGGCAATTTTAAATGACACTATTACTTACACTCTGTATGTTTCACTTCTTAAATAATCCTGTAGATGGCTAATTCCTAGTTGTAACTGTTCGGCAATAGGTGGTACCCAAATATTGCCTTCAAATCGAAATGCAGACTTGTTGGAGGACATATCTAAGTTTCCAATCTCTGGAGGTAGGATAGTCAGACGATTTCCCTGAAGATGGAGTTCCCTCAGACGAATTAATTCCCCTATTTCTTTGGGTAGTTCAATGATGTCATTTTCACGAAGAACAAGCTAAAAATAGTAACATTTTTTGCATTCTATTATTGTTAGAAAATTTTTACTGAACTTAAAATACAATCAGGTGCAAAAAAATCGATCCATGCCTATTTTACAAAATATATTTAAGGAGGAACTTTAAATGTAAATAAGAAACACAATTTACCCAGAAAAATTATTTATTTATAAAAAATATGACATTTTTCGAAAACTGAAAAAATGAAAAGTAGTTTTGTTGATAAGACATTTATAACAAAATAATGTTTATGTCATTTGTTATTATTGCCTAGCATTTCCTTCTCGGGTCCTTCCATACGTCTTGCATTATGATAATTAAATTTTGAACAAAATGTTGATCCAATTCGTCCCATGTTATTTGAAGAGTCTCTCTAAGCTCACAAAAGTTGTTTGAGCGGGGTAACCGAAACTTGAATTCGTCTTCTCAGTATATCCCATAGGATTAAGGTCGGGGCTAGAAGCTGTCCAATTCATAGGGACAATCCCGATGTCTTTTAAGTATTCACTGACGTTTCTCGCATGGTAGGGATGCGCGTCCAAAATAAAATTAGCTCCTATGAATGGCACAAAAGGTACCACATGCTATTTTAAAATGGTTGTTATATACCTCGCGTCTGTCATAGCATCTCATTTATAAGAACTAAATCAGTACGAGCATCGGTATTCATACCAGCCCAAACCATAACTCCCTTCGATAGTTTATTCTGTCAATATTGCATTTCGCAAATCGTTCTCCTGGTTTCTCCTGATTCTTCAGCGACCATTTAGTGACTAAAGCAAAACTTGGACTCATCCGAGAAGAAAACATTACTTCAATTTGCGTAATTCCAATTTTCGTGTTCGCTTGCAAAAGCAAGTCGCGCTCTGCGGTGTTCCAGTGATAGCTGTGAGTAATAGGGCTGGTCTTCTTGATAAAAACGGGATGTGGGCACTCTTAAAGAGGAATTTTAGCTTTCTTATATTATCTAAGCAAGAAGCGATGGTTTTAATTGACTTTATTTTATTTCTATTTATTCGATTCAAAAATCAATTCGATAATCGATACTATTCGATTCGATACTTAATTTATTTCGATTTGATTTATTATTCCCTTCGATTCGATAATTGATTTGATACGATAATCGATTTTAATCGATTCGATACTACGGCCCTTGTAGCATTGGTTGGTGTTAATATCATATTAATAGAATTAAAAATTCTGAACTCATGACTTTTTAATTAACTGGTTTGGTTGTTAAAATCAGTACGACAACAAATTAATTTCTTTCCGCCTATCGACTTAAATTTTTGACAAAACATAAATTCCTGATGTTTATAAGAAATGCCATAAAAATTTAGCAATAATATGTAGAAATTATTAATTGTACTTATGAGAGGATTTCTATAAATTTATATATGCCATAAATGTTTGATTATATGAGAAAATGTTATGATTTGCCAAACACAATGAAAAATGAGAATATAACTTCTGATAATTCCCGAAATATAGCAAATTTGTTTAGTAATTTTTTTAATTCAGTCTGTTACTAGTAATACAGATTATTCAGCTGTAAACTCTGATAATAGTCTTTGTGTTGAAATTTGTGATATTACTGTATTAGATTTATTTGAATTTATAGCTAAGATTGATCTAAAAGTAAGTTGTGGATCTGATAATATATCCCCTTTGTTCATATTTAACTGTAGATTTATTCTGTAGTCTTATTTGAATTTCGCGCCATTGACAGATCTGATTGTCACTCAATTTGAAAAAAAAGAAGATAACCACACACTTTATGTTTAGACTTGACACTTGTGATTATGAATTATGGCCATCTGAATGTTATGAAAACTATTATGTCGAATTATGTACAATTAGTGTTTCTTTCCGCTAAATAAACTTAAGAAAACTAGAACAATATTATTTATTAACGGAGCCTACAGAATCAGAAGTGGGATTACGTGGATCGCCGATATTTTTGCAGATTTAAAAATTGTGTTTAGTATTGACGATAGCCATGCCGGGATCAGACACCGAAATTGAAAATACAAGTGGAAACACCGTCGCTCAGGCGAGTATAGCTGAAATTGTTCATACAGCGGTACAGGCAATCCTCGATTATGAAGAGAAAAAGAAAATTGCCGGTCCAGAAAATCAGATGCCGACACATAACCCCATAAAAATTACTAACAGTGAATTATCAAATTTAATGCCGGAATTTTCAGGCACAGACAAAAGCCAGAATGTTGCAATATGGTTAGAAAGAATAGAAAAAATCAAAACTGTGTATAATGTTCCAACTGATATTTTACAACTGTTAGTCATTGGAAAATTGACCGGAAAAGCGAAGGAATGGTACCTCAGCAAACCAAATTTAATTTCCACAGATTGGACAGGTTTAAAAAATGAAATTAGGAGAATGTATGGGAGAACTTATGATCCAGTGTCGTCGAGAAGAAAGATGGAGACTAGAAGGTGGAAAAAGAGTGAAAGCTTTTCAGCATATTTCCATGACAAACTGTTACTGGGCAACGAAGCAGGAGTTGAGGATGAAGATATGATACATTATCTGATTGATGGGTTTGATGATCGCCTACTTCAAAATCAAGCCAAAATGATGTTATCCACACTCAATAGCACTGAAGATTTATATAAGTTAATGGGGAGTGTTGTTAAAGATGAGGTATCAGGAAGTGGACAAAGGTTTGCTACAGCATCAAGTTATAGGGTAAGTTCTAGCCAGAACCAACCTCATACAGCAACACAGGGTCGGATGCCAGTTCCTGTAAAATGCTTTAATTGTGGTCGTACCGGACACAAAGTGACAGAGTGCAGACAAGCCAAGCGTGATAGGGGATCATGTTTTAGATGTGGAAGCAAAGATCATATGGTAAGAGACTGTCCTAATAGAAACCAGCAAGTGGTGCAACAAGTTGCAGATTCAACTACCCGAGATAGTAATGGAGCCATGGGTCTAGTGGAACGTCCTATGAGCCAAACGGATCCTTTTGTATTAAACCTGGTTCTAGATAAGTATAGCATAACATTAAATGGTATAATAGATACAGGGAGTCCAATATCATTGATATCAGAAAATTTTGTAAAGGCAGAAGATATTATTTCTTCTACTAATATTGAATCTTATTCAGGTATAAATAAATCTCCTTTAAAAGTGTTAGGGTTTTTTTATGACACAGTTATTTTTGATGACATATCAGTAAATTTAAAATTTTATGTTGTTGAGAAAGATTCTTTTAGTTGGAATCTACTTTTGGGTCGAGATTTTATAAACAATGAATCCATAGAAAATATAAGTTTTTCAAATGGTTCTTTTAAAATAAATAAAAACTCTTGTGTACAAACAGAGGAGGACTATCAGTTTCCTTTTACAGATGTTTTGTTTATTAACGATATGGTAAGTTTAGATGCAGACTTGAATATTAATTATTGTTTACCTTTTGAAATAACTACTAGTGTTCAAACTTTATTGAAGTCATATTACTTTGATTATGATAAACCATTAAGACCACAGTGTGATTTCAAAGCACAGCTTACTTTAACTAAAAATGAACCTTTTAGTATCAGACCACGTAGACTATCTTATGCAGAGAAAAAGTCATTGGATGAAATTCTTGCTAATTTATTAGAAAATAATGTCATTAGGGAAAGTGATTCACCTTTCTGTTCACCAGTAGTATTAACCAAGAAGAAGTCAAATGAATATCGAATGTGTGTAGACTATCGTACTTTAAATAAATATCTTATTAGAGATCAATTTCCCTTGCCGCTAATAGATGATCATTTAGACAGGTTAAAGAATAAGAAATATTTCTCTAAATTGGATTTGAAAAATGCTTTTTACCATGTTCCTTTAGATGAAAGTTGTACTAAGTATACTTCATTCGTTACACCTTCAGGTCAGTATGAATTTCTTAAATTACCTTTTGGTTTGAGCTCAAGTCCCTCTATTTTTGCAAGGTTTGTTAATAAAATTTTTAAAGATCTGTGCCAACAAGGAAATGTTTTAATATATTTTGATGACATATTAATTGCTACTCAGACTATCGAAGAAAATCTAGAAGTGTTAAGAGAAGTTTTAATATTAGTTAGCCAGAATTTACTTGAGTTAAGACTAGATAAATGTTCATTTTTGAAAACAGAAATAGATTTTCTGGGTTACAGGATTAATGAAAATGGTATATGTCCTAATAAAGATAATGTGAAAGCTACTGCAGAGTATCCAGTTCCTACAGATACCAAGCAGGTGCATAGATTCTTAGGCCTTGCCAGTTATTTTAGACGTTTTATACAGAACTTCTCTATCATCGCCAAGCCGTTATATGACCTATTACGAAAAAATGTCAAATTTGAATTTACAATGACACATTTACAAGCTTTTGAGAATTTGAAGTCAAAACTGACATCAGAACCTATTTTAGCAGTTTATGATCCGAGTAGGGAAACAGAACTACACTGTGATGCAAGCCAAGTAGGCTATGGATCAATTTTACTTCAGAAACAAAGTGATGACAAATTTCACCCAGTGTTTTTCTTTAGCAAGAGAACAACTGACTATGAGTCTCGCTACCATAGCTACGAACTTGAATGCTTGAGTATTGTGTATGCACTTAAACGGTTTCATGTTTATCTACAGGGAATCCCTTTCAAAATAGTTACAGATTGTGACAGTTTTCGCTTAACCATGAGTAAAAAGGATATAATTCCAAGGATTATGAGATGGTATTTGTTATTGCAAAATTATGATTACTCTATTGAGCACAGAGTAAATACAAGAATGCAACATGTAGATGCCTTAAGCAGAGTGAGTTATGTACTGGTATTAGAAGGAAATACTATTGAACAAACTTTGGCTTTAAAACAGTCCAAGGATACAGTTATTTCAGATCTTCGAAAAAGACTTGAGGAGACAGATCATCCTTTCTTTGAATTAAGAAATGGGTTAGTATATAGAAAACTGAAAGATAACATTGCATTTTATGTACCAGAGAGTATGGAGTCAGCAGTTATCTATCACTATCATAATGAATTGGGTCATTTCGGAACAGACAAAACATTTGAAATTATTTCCAAGACATATTGGTTTCCAAAATTAAAATTTAAGATTAGAAATCATGTTCAAAATTGCTTAAAGTGTATTGAATTCAATCCTAAAAGTGGCAAATCAGAAGGATATCTACACAGTATACCTAAGGGCAATTTACCTTTTGAAATGCTTCATATTGATCACTATGGGCCATTAGCTCCTTTTAATAAGAATAAATATATATTTGAAGTTGTTGATGGGTTTACTAAATTTATTAAGTTCTATCCTTGCAAATCAACAAATACAGGAGAAGTAATTAAATATTTAACTGAACATTTTGCTAATTATAGTGTACCGAGCGTTATCAGTTCAGACAGAGGATCTTGTTTTACCTCTCATGATTTTAAGAAATTTTTGGAGGAGTATACAATCAAACACATACTGATTGCAAGTGGTTGTCCGAGAGCCAATGGGCAAATAGAACGCATGAACAGGTTATTGACACCTCTTCTAGCAAAGATAACCGATGAAAAACAAATCAACTGGCCAAATGCATTACATGAAGTGGAATTCTGCATCAATAATACAATAAACAGATCAACAGGAGAAACCCCAGCTAAGTTACTTTTTGGAAGAGATCAAATAGGAAAGATTAGGGATAATTTAAGAGAAGCATTACAAGATATTGATAAGGAAGAACGGGATTTAGAAATGATTCGAACTAAGGCAGAAGCACAAATAATTAAGGCACAAAATGTAAATGAACAGTATTATAACAAGAAGCATAAGGAGGCTCAAAAGTTTAAGGTGGGGCAATATGTTATGATTTCCAACGTAGACACAACCCCTGGAGTAGCTAAAAAACTTATACCAAAATTTAGAGGACCGTATGAGATTGTGAAAGAGCTACCAAATGATAGGTATATTGTGAATGATATTGTTGGGTTCCAAACAACACAAGTACCATATGAGGGAGTTATAGACAGTAGTAGGATTAGAGCTTATGATAAATAATCAATTTCATTATTAGTTAGGGTTAAAATAATTATGTTTAATTTTTATTCAATTATGTTTATGCTTATTTATAATCCATTACTTGTACCATTACATCGAGACAGTTAGGGTGTGTTATGGATATTATGATTTCCATTTGTACCCCTATGGACACTTCAATCCATTATGTATGTTATGTCGTGCTTATTTAAACTATTATGAATGTTATGCCTTGCTTATTTAAACCATTATGAATTATGATTATTATGATTTGTTTATTTAACTCATTATGAATTATTATTATTATTACTGTATGTTTTAAACTTTAAAGGAAAATGTTCATTTCAAATATCCATTATGTTATGTCTTATGAAAGTCATGAATGTTAAATATCTTAGTTATGTAATTAATATACTGTAATATTAGGTTGATCGAGGACGATCAGACGTGTCAGGATGGCCGAACTGTAGTCTTATTTGAATTTCGCGCCATTGACAGATCTGATTGTCACTCAATTTGAAAAAAAAGAAGATAACCACACACTTTATGTTTAGACTTGACACTTGTGATTATGAATTATGGCCATCTGAATGTTATGAAAACTATTATGTCGAATTATGTACAATTAGTGTTTCTTTCCGCTAAATAAACTTAAGAAAACTAGAACAATATTATTTATTAACGGAGCCTACAATTCTGAGTTATTATATTTTACAAAAAATATTTAGTTTATCATTGAGCTCAGGTGTCTTTCCAGAGATATGGAAGAGAAGTTATATTACCCCAGTCCATAAAGGTGGTAATAGAGAAAATATTGAAAAGTACCAAGCTATATCTAAAATTCCAGTTTTCGCTAAATCTTATGAAGGGATTGTAGCTGCAAAACTTGGTCCATTATTGAATCTTACTTTAATGCCCGACCAAAATGGTTTTATCTGGCTAATTGGTCTTTACCAAAGCCATCTAATTAAGTATACCTAAGTAAAACATGGTTTTATCTCAGAACGTTCTAATACTACCAATCTTTTAGTTTTACAAGAATTTTGGTTGGATGCTCTTGAAGGGTATGAGCAGGTTGATGTCATTTTCACCGAATTTTCAAAGGCATTCAATAGAGTTAATCATACTGTCCTAATCTCTAAACGTTATAATGCTGGTTTACATGAAAGATTATTAGGCTGGATGGACAGCTATGTCACAGGATAGTACTTAAGTTGTAAAAATTAACAAATTTTTGTCATCTGCTATCAATGTAACCTCTGGTGTTCCACAGGGTGGATATTTATCTCCTCTGCTTTTTAATTGTCTTGTAAATTATATATAAAAAAAATTATTATAGTAATTATGCTGATGATCTAAAAATTTATAGTCATAAAAAATTCCAATGACTGCAGTTTATTACAAAATGATTTAAGTAGATTATTGGATTTGTGTAACTTAAATGCTTTGAATTTGAACATAAATAAATGTAAGGTAATGCAATTTTTTGAGAAATAAACATCCGATTTCATTTGAATACCATATTGGACCCAATATTTTAGAGGTAATCACAACATTTAAGGATCTTGGGGTAATTTTTGACCCTACAGTAAGCTTCAGGGACCAATTTTCTTACGTTTCTAGTAGATCCATGAAACTTTTAGGTTTCATGAAACGTAGCCACTCTAAATTTGATAATATTTATTGTCTCAAAAATATCTACTGTTCTTTTATTAGATCGGTTTTAGATTATGGTAGCAATATTTGGTCTCCTCATTATAAATGCTATAAAGATCTATTAGAAAGAGTACAGAAAAAGTTCTTAAGATTTATTGCTTTTAAATTGAGAATACCTGTAAATGAAATTGAATACATTGTTTTGCAATCTTTACCTAAATTGCCTACTCTTGAAGAAAGGCGAATATTGCTAGATGTAGCATTTATATATAAATGAATATGAGGAGGCATTGATGCTAGTGTTCTTTTGGAAAAGGTTTACTTCTGTACTCCCTGTAGAGACACTAGATCCCAAGACTTATTTTATAGGATCGAAAATACCTTTTTATGTAATCACATTGTGCTTTAATAGTTTAAGCTTAATATAAGTTCATTTGTAAAAAATTGACAAGTCCGTAAATAAACATTACATTACATTACAAAACAAGTCCCAAGTTTTAAAACTCACAATAAATGGGAAATATGTTGTTGATCGAATTTTTTGAACCTCAGTATATATTTAAATATTCCTACAAGAAGAAAAGATATGCACTAAAGTTCTTATTAAAAAAACTACTCACAATTTGTAAATTTTTTAGGTTTTTGATGTCAGAAGGGATATATTCAAAATCATTATCTCCTAAGTATAAGGCACGAAGAGTCTCTAAAATGCAAAAACATTAAAATTAACTTTTCTTGCCTAATTCAATATATAGTTCAATTCAATAGTAAAATAAAACAATTGCAGTGCACCTACCCATCATGAAGAAGTTTCCCGGCAAAGCATCCTCCTTCAGATTATTATAAGTCAGATCCAACACTTCTAATACAGGAAATGCCCCAAAACCTCGAGGTAAAGTATATAAACGGTTAATAGAGATATTCAGTATCCTCAATTTTGGCATTGATGACAAAGACAGAGGTAATTCTTCGATATGGTTATTGGAGAGATTCAAAATTTCTAAGTTACTCAAGTTCGCAAGACCAGGAGGTACAGCTAAAACATATAGGAGCAAGCATTTATATATTATTTTTATATATGTTTTTTCGTGTTGTAAAAAAAGAAAAATTAATTTACTTACACTTAATTTTGTTGTGGCTCAAAGTTAATCTTGTAATATTTGTCATATTCACTAAAACAAAAAGAATCATATCACATTTGATATGAGCTAATCAGCTCTACTATTAAGGCTTATTAAGGTATTTTAGATGTGGTCTTATCTACACATACTTAGAATCCCATGCCTCTACTATTAAGAAATTTTTACCCAATTTATATTTCGCGAGAATGGTAGAATTTTATTGCCTTTATTAAGGTCATTTTTTATCATTGACGATGATGGGTGCCGCGGTCACTTAAGAAAATGAATGGAATTTCCATTTCTCAATTCAGGGAATTTAAGAATCAGTCGTTATACTCAAATGGTCACTTTATAGGAGTGGTCGCTGACAGAGGTTTTACTGTATTACAAACATTTTAACTAAAAAATCTTGTTTACTTATATGTACTTAAAAAAACTAAAATATACCTTTTATAGAGGATTTTATAGTATAAAGATGTTTTCTTGTGAAAAAAATTAAAGTTTTTAAAAAAAATATTTTTACATTTCATTGTTTCCTACTTTTAACAAAAAATTACAGGTTTGTTATCAGTTTTAGGTTAGACATGATTAGGCTAGGTTAGTGTTTGGGAAAGTATGTACTATTTCTTTTCATATTTTTACATTTAATATTTTTCTTTTAGCGTATTATTCTTCTTCTTAGAGTGCCGTCCCCTACGGAGGTTAGCAATCATAATGGCTATTTTTATTTTAGAACTTGCTGCTCTAAACAAATCAATTGATTTGCATTGATACCAATCACATAGATTCTTTAACCATGAGTTCTGTCTTCGGCCAACAGATCTTCTTCCTTGAATCTTTCCCTCTACTATGAGTCTTAAAATTTCATATTTTGGACCCCTCATCACGTGGCGTACGTATTCCAGTTTTCTGGTTTGTATAGTGGTCATTAGTTCTGTTTCTTTACCAACCCTCTCCAGTACTTCTTTATTTGTAATTCTATCAGTCCATGTTATTTTCAATACTCTGTGGTATAACCAGAGTTCGAAGGCCTCGATTCTTTTTAAATTACATTTTTTTAATGTCCAAGTCTCAGTTCCATATAATAATATTGAAAATATATAACAGCGAATGGTATGTAGTCTGATCTCCAAATTTAGATATTTGCATAATGCTGAACTGGCAATCTCTATTCACCTGTTTATTTCTGCAGTATGATCATTGGTTTCATTGACCAAAGTTCCCAAATGCTGATATTTTTCTACTTGTTCTATCACATTACCATTGATTGTCAATAGGTGATGTATATTTTGTGGTCTTTTTAGAGTTTATAGTAATTCTCATCTCAGCACTATTCATACTCAAACTTTTGATAAGATGTTACAGATCCTCTATATTTGTTGCTATGATCACAGTGTCATCTGCATATCTAAGTTGTTAATTAATTTTCCGTTAACAGTGACTCCTGCTTTGATATTATTGAGCGTGTTTTGGAAAATTTCTTCAGAATATAAGTTAAATAAAAGTGGTGATAAAACACATCCCTGTTTAACTCCACTAGGGACCCTCATTTCTTCTGAGTGTTGCCCATCAAGTATTGATATTAGTTTTTCATGTCTTACTTTATCGAAAGCTTTTTCGTAGTCAACAAAGCACAAGTCTAGAGCACAGAGCACTCTTTGCGAACACTGAGTGTACTATAATGTGATCTAATCCAATGCTGTATTCTAATGACTTTGTTAAAATATATTGCTTCCTGTTATTTAGTAAAATTATTGTTAAACTGGCTATACAATTTAAAAACTTTTTATGTGAGAACAAATATACTTTTTTTACTTTTACTTTTATTTCTTTTTATACATAAAATGCAAAAATTCAGAAAACAGTTACAAAAAAATATTTTAATTATTGAATTTAAATACTTAATACCAACTTATTATTTCTCATTCTTATTCTTTCTTTTCTCAAAAATACATGTTTCCTGTAAATTTACAGTCATAAGGTCAAATCAGTGATGACTGATATTCTTTAAAACTAAATATAGTCAAGAAATCAAGATAAGTTCCATTGCAAAAGAACTACAATTTTTGAGAAGAGTAACAGCAATATTATTAGTCAAACTTATAATATGATGAAGATTGATGATTGAAAGAAAGAAAGAAGAATTGAGGACATATATGGGGAGTGATTGCCAAAGAAATGTGGAACATAATAATTACAACGCAAATAAAAAAAGGCTATCCTTTCTTTATTTCTTCCTATCTTTAAATGGAGAATTGTAGAACATGTAGAACAGCTCAGATATGATAGATGGACTAAGAGATTATTCAAAAGGAGACCCTGTGAAGATGGGAGAAGTCTGGTAAGACCACAGACATGATGGACAGATGACATACAGAGAACAGAGAATCACTGGATGCAACCACTTATGTCAAAACAAATCATATTTTGAAGTATGAGATATTGCAACAGAAAATCATGTAGTTTTAAGGAGTATGTAAGATTTAAAAATTTGAAGATTAGTATTAAATTCATCTGCTTTAGTATGATTTAGAATTTATGAAAACACATGTGGCAACAATATGAATAACATAAGAAGAAGGGCAAGAAATTAGCTAAGAGTTTGAAAGACTCATAAATGTACAAAAACTGTATTGCTTTTAATATAATGATCATTTGGGAAAGGTGTAAGCAAGCAACGATTATAGACGCATACTGTAAGCTCCTATTTTGTCAATAGTTTAAATCCTTAACAACTACAAAAAAAAAACAAGTAACAACTGAGTTCTATTTCCGAATGACATTTAGGACTTTTTGTGCTATAAAACATAAATGTTCTTATATTTTCCAGACTCTATAAGGGTTATTAGAAATTCTTTTTTACTATCTGTATACACATCTGACTAAATTTGTATATGAAAACCCCACCCAAAGGTTGTGGTTAGCAATCCTTATTAGGAAATACAAATTTACTTACATAATCCAGGTAATTCTTCAAATGAAGATATTCCTCTATCAAACAAATCGAGCTCTGGATTCTGAAATTCTCTCGCTTCTTCCAAAACCTTCTTTGGTTTAGCCATTCTGTTTAATTTTTGTTATTGATACAAATAAATATTCTAAATCTGCCAAATACCTTACAGATTTTTGACAACTAATTTGAAGGTTAACATTCGCAGCAGTGTTGCCAATTTTTATTTCGGTAGTACCTTAATATTTGTTAATAGCCACAAAATAGTGGAATCGCTTGCTCATTTTATAGAATAAAAATTAAGAAAAAATATAAACAGATAAATTGGTATTATTATAACAATAAAAGTAGATTTTACAAAAATAAGTTTTATTTTAAACAAAATTATAAAATATTTTAATTGCTATCAAAATATTTGAAAAGATTCATTTCCTTGAAAATTTGAAAGTATGGTTTGTTACTGATGCAATAAATATAGTGTAACTTTCCTTATAACCAGTGGTATCGCACTTACTGAGAGGAAATATGTTACAACCTGTCGTTAAAATTGAGGAGGGTAAATTAAGAGGTTTAAGCCAAAAGAACTTGGACGGTGAAGAATTTTATTCGTTTCTAGGAGTGCCTTACGCAGAACCACCAATCGGTGAATTAAGATTCAAGGTAAGTGATGAAGCTTCAAAGAAGATTATTTGTGGTAGGAAATTTGTACCCAATGAAGCATGAAGAGAATATTTATAGAAAGCACATATGTACCTATATTAAGATTAAATTAAAATTTACTTTCAAAGCTCAGGTTCTTAATTTGTTGATTAGTATATTGTTATTGGGATTAATGAATCCGTTCACTTTTTGATAAAATTTTTACACTGCTGCCAACGTTGGTTTTCAAGCAGACAAAATAATATTTATGTAAATAATATTTTTAGCTGGTATTCCGCGTAGATAAAATAGACATCTGAAAGAAACCTTAAGCAGATGAACAACAGAAAGACTCTAGGTGAAGTACACTGGGATACAAAATTAATCGGACACTCAGATTTTTTTTATTTTTTTTTATTTTTGTTTAGATCAAAACTTATTTAATTTGTTTGAATTGTATTTTATACATTATTATCGATAACATTTTTTTCTTGTTTGAACCTGTTTAGATGTTTTGTGCGTTTTTAACACTTTTATACATACGTTTTGTTATACGTTTTGTTATGTGAAATAGTGGCTTAGTATTAATTTAAGTTTATTGTGGTACTGTACCTGATTATAAGTTCGGTTGTAGGTTTTTGTATTGTCTCCTGTTTAAAACTTGCATTAAAAAAATTATGACAGCAGAAGAAGTAGCATAAGCTGTTGCTTACAGGATGATGGGCGGAGCATTCGCTACATCGCAAATGCTTTAGGAATTTCTCGAAGTACAGTGTTTGATGCAATATAAAGATTTAGAAAAACAAGATAATACACCAGGAGTCTAAGTCAAGGTAGACGAAGAAAAACAAGTCAAGTTGAAGATCGCATTTTTAGGTTACAAGCGTTACGCGATCGTACCTTCAGTACCAGTACTTGTTCAACAATTAAATGATGTCCATAGAAACACAGTTTCTGTGTTGTTAGCTTAGATTAGTAGTTATTTATATATCTATGGCTTAGATTAAGATATAGGCGCCGGAGTTAGGCAACAGAGATGACAGGGAGGTCATGTGAACGTAGCCGAAGCTCGGGCAAGAATGTATGTTTGAGGGTTGAGAATAAACTGATGTTGTGAAGTAACGATTATTATTTGTAACCCCTCTTTGATAACACGACATGGTGGCAGCTGGTGCTTTGTTTTGTTAACATTAAACAAGCAAAGAGTGGTCGAACGTGACAACAGTGCAAATCTTATGCATAACCTATAAATCAGAGGGGACCTAAAATCCTTAAAATGGATGCACCTATCCAAATAAATAAAGAAGTGTTTGCGAACATTTCGGCTCCAAGCGAATTTGATTTTACACAGCCCCAGACATGGCCCCAATGGAAGAAAAGAGTAGAGAGATATATGTCTGTAAGTGGATTTGGACAAAAATCTGACAAGGATAAATTAGACCTACTGTTGTATTTAATGGGAAATGAAGCAGAAGATATTTTACTTCAAAATCAACCAGTGGAGAATGCATCCTTTCAAGATGTAATGCAGATTTTCGACAATCATTTTATTCCCCGAAGAAATACAATCTTTGAGAGATTTCAATTTAATTCAAGGGTACAAAGGCCAGGAGAACCTGTGGGAAACTTTATTTCAAGTCTACATACTCTTGCAGAGCACTGTAGCTATGGAGCTCTTAAAGATGAGTTAATTCGTGACAGGATAGTTATCGGAATAGCTGATAAAAAGGTGAGCGAAAGAATGCAACTAAATGATGGTTTGACACTAGAGAAGGCAATACAAATAGCACGCCAAGCTGAACTTCAAGATAGTCAAAATAGAATTATGAGACAGGAGCAGTCAGTTAGTGCAGTTAAACAGGACTACAGGGAGCGTAGTGATAAAAGACATCAAGGTAAGAGTTTTGCTAAACAAGAAACAACTCATGAGAAAGTTAAGGAAGGTTACAGATGTGGATACTGTGGCATACCTACATGTAAAAATAGGGAGAAATGTCCAGCCAAGTTCTCTGAATGCAGATCTTGTTCACGTAGAGGTCATTGGAGTGTGATGTGCAGGAAGAAAGCTGTCAGAGCTGTTAAGTGTTCAAGGTCCACCAGTAGCAGTAGTACAGATGACGAAGGAAGGGATTCAGTAAATCAAGTGGTACATACAGATTCCTTTATTGGCCAAGTGTACCTAGACAAGAAGGATCGTTGGTATGTAGACATCTTATTGGATGACAAATTTAAGGTACCTTTTTTTGTGGATACAGGAGCAGATGTTAACTGCTTTCCCTATGAAAAATTACCTCCAGAATATGTGGGTAAAATTGTGGCAGGTGATGCAATTGGTGCAGCGGACGATCATAAATTGGACACAGTGGGTAAGCTACATATAAAATTTACTTATGACGGTTTTACAAATGATGAAACAATATATTGTATTAGGAAGTTGAGACAACCTATATTAAGCAGAGAATCAATCATTAAGTTTAATGTTCTAAATTTTTCTAATTGTAAGCTTAAACAGGTAAATCAAATCAGTTGCAGTGTTGTTCATTGTAATCAATCTGAGAGTACTAATATGTTTTCAAAATTTAATTTAGAGTCTGTTGCTAAAACATTTCCTGGTATTTTTAGTGATATAGGTGAATTTAAAATGGAAATGTCAATTAGAATTAAGCCAGATGCTAAACCTTATGTACAGAGCGTTCCCAGAACTGTTCCTTTACCTCTGTTACCAAAATTAAGAATTGAAATTGATAGATTGCTAAAATTAGGGATAATTGAACCCATTGAAGATCCTACTTCTTGGGTCAGCCCAATTGTTTGTGTGGACAAGGGAGATTGTGTACGGCTTTGTGGTGACTATACTAAACTTAATGAAAACGTGTTACGGTCACATTTTCCTCTCGGGAAAATATCTCATACACTAGCACAGTTGAAAGGGTCTAAATTCTTCTCAAAATTGGATACCACAAGTGGGTTTTACCAAATAAAATTGAATAAGGAAAGTCAGTTGTTAACAACTTTTATAACACCTTTTGGCAGATTTTTCTTTAAAAGGCTTCCATTTGGTATATCTTGTGCCCCAGAGTATTTTACTATGAGATTTTCAAAAATCTTAACTGGCATTGAAGGCTGTGTTGTCCATATAGATGACATTCTTATTCATGCAAGGACAATAGAGGAACATGACAATATTTTGAACACAGTCCTAACAAAACTTCATAAGGAAGGTATTACACTAAATAAAAACAAATGCTCTATAGCAACAAAAACAGCTAAATACTTGGGTCATATGGTCTCTGAGCAAGGGATATTAATTGATCCAGATAGGGTTAAAGCTATCCGTGATTTTCCTGAACCAAAAAATAAGACTGAGCTGTCAAGATGGCTGGGTATGATTAATTTTGCTGCAAAATACATTCATAATAAATCTGAGATTCTTGAACCATTAACACACTTACTAAAAAAAAATATTAACTTTTTGTGGGGTCCAGCACAAGATAAAGCTTTCAGCACTTTAAAACAAAAGTTAGAGAGCCCTCCAAATCTAGCGTTTTTTGATGCTAATAAAACCATAATTGTTAGTGCAGACTCAAGTTGTTTTGGTATAGGTGCATGTCTATTTCAAGAAAATGTAGATCATACTCGGGAAATAGTGGCTTTTACATCTAGGCTTCTGAACTCAGCTGAAACACGATACGCTCAGATTGAGAAAGAAGCTCTTGCACTTACATGGGCAGCAGAATATTTTTATGATTTTATTTCAGGAGTTCCTAACCTAATTTTTGAAACAGACCATAAACCTTTACTACAAATTCTGCAAACTAAAAATTTAGATGAGTTAACGCCACGTTTGCAAAGATTTCGAATGCGTTTAATGCGATACAAGTATACTGTAATCTACACGCCGGGAAAAAATTTAATTGTAGCAGATACTTTAAGTCGGGCCCCTTTACAAACAGATACGTTAGCTAATAAAGAACTAACTGCTGAAACTGCAGCATATGTGCAGTCAATTATTCATAATTTACCAATTAAAGATTATTTTTTGAATTTAATAAAAACAGAACAAGAAAATGAATATATTTGTAAAAAACTAAAAGAATATTCTTTGTCTTCTTGGCCTGAAAGATCTAAATTGCCATTTGAATTGTTGCCATACTATCAATATAGATATGAAATTTCCTATTCGGAACAATTACTTTTAAAAGGGTCTCGCATAATCATTCCTAAGAGTCTTCAACTCAAGGTGTTGGAATTTATTCATACAGGCCATATGGGAATTGTAAAATGTCGAGATCGTGCCAAACAGAGCGTTTGGTGGCTGGGTTTGTCATCCCAGATTAATAACCTTGTCACACATTGTCCCCAATGTGTTGAACACAGAGTAAATCATAGAGAAACATTTCATAAAGACAATACTGTACAAAGGCCGTGGCAAAAACTGGGGGTTGATTTGTTTAAATGTTATGATAAGTGGTATTTGATTGCCACTGACTACTTTTCACATTGGTTTGAAATTTTTACTTTAACCAATATGACAGAAGATGCCATTATTCCTAAGCTTAAAGATATTTTCTCTCGTTATGGTATCCCAGAGGAAGTTAGATCCGACTGTGGTACTCAATTTTCATCAAAATTTATAAAGTTTTCAAAAGAATATAATTTTGTTCATACGACGAGCAGTCCGCACTGGCCTCAGAGCAACGGTGGAGTGGAACGCACTGTACAAATTGCAAAAAGATTAATTCAGAAAAATAAAAAAGAGGACCTAAGTTTGGCATTGTTAGCATATAGATGTACACCCCTAGAATGTGGTGTTTCACCTTCTGAATTATTAATGAATAGAAAATTAAGATCTAACTTACCCCAGCTTCCAAGCTTATTAAACTTTTCAAAAGAACCAAACACTAAAAATAAAAAGAATGAAATAAAGGATAAACAAGTGAAAAACTACAATAAGCGACACAATGCCAAGGATTTAGATCCTCTTAAGGTTGGTGATTCTGTGTGGGTGGTTGATATCAGGAAATATGGGCGAGTTGTTGCGATCTGTCAGGAACCCAGGTCCTATATAATTGAAACTGAAACCGGGAAATTTAGAAGAAATAGATGGCATTTGATTCATGCACCCTACTGTTTCCCTGTATTGAGCACCCAACCAGAATCCTCAAATGATTATGTTCCGCCAATTTCTAGTAGCACAAAGCTAATGCCTTGCTCTAATCAAAGCAATGGTGACATACAGGGTAAAATAATGGAGGAAAGTAGTAGGGGGGAACCCAGTGTATTCCAGGACAAAATCGAACAAAGTGGAAATCATGTTTTACCTCCATCGGGTCAGGATAAAAGCGATAGTGTATCGGACTTTGAGTGCGTAAAGCCTAGCAGGCCAAAAAGACTTGTGAAGAAACCGGTTCATTTAACAGATTATGTTTGTAGTAGTTTAAGTTAGTTTAGGTATAAGATCATTAATGACACAGGGATCTTTTATAAAAAAAAGGAGATGTGTTGTTAGCTTAGATTAAGATATAGGCGCCGGAGTTAGGCAACAGAGATGACAGGGAGGTCATGTGAACGTAGCCGAAGCTCGGGCAAGAATGTATGTTTGAGGGTTGAGAATAAACTGATGTTGTGAAGTAACGATTATTATTTGTAACCCCTCTTTGATAACACGACAGTTTCCGTTTATATCGTTTGAATATGCTTAAATGAATATGGATTAAGGTCCAGAATACCTGTCACGAGACCTCTATTAACAGCAGATCATCGGAGGTAATGTTTACGCTTCGCTCGCGAACATCTTAATTTGGATGTTGACGATTGAAGTGTTGCGCTTTTCACGGATCAATCAAAATTCAACAGATACTCATCAGATGGGTGGCCTAGGATATGAAGAAGAGCTGGTGAACGTTATCAGCAATGTTGTTTTAGTCCGAGAGTTCAATTTGATCAAGGTGGTATAAAGGTGTGGACAGGCATTTCCATAAAGGCTCATACCGAACTTTTTACAATTTGGGAGCTCAAGGGAGCAATTTGAACGCTCAACGGTATATTCAGCAATGTTTGGAAGATCATGTAGTGGCATTTACCCCATTTGTTGGAGAAAACTTTCGTCTAATGCAAGATCATGCTCTTCCACACATCCTAAGAATAACACTTGGATTACGTTGGGATTCGTTTATTACCATGGTCCCCAAGGAGTGAAGACTTAAATCAAATAGAGCATGCATGGGATATTCTGGGCCGACGTATTCGACGTAACCATGGTGAGTTTGAAACCATGAATAATTTGGAGCAAGCAGTTCGTAACGAATGGGAGCAAATCCCTTAAGACTCAGACTTTGCTGCCTTAATCTGAAGTATGCCTCGTCTAATGATAACCGTAATTGGCGCTCGTGCACAGTGGAAGTATTACACTCTACTAAATATCGTTTTCCAGAAAAAATGTTTATATTTAAAAAATATTAATTTTTGTTTCGTTGCAGATTTTCAAATTTTTTGAATTATTTATTGTTTTTTTCTGTGTAACATTCTTTGATTTGTAATAAATTTGAGTTTTAAATTTTGTTTTTTATTAAAGACTCAATTGAAAACGCCCTAAACTTTTTTAAACGCCAGTTTTTAGGACAAATCTCGGTGTCCGGTTAATTTTGCACTCAGTGTATATTTTATCTCTAATTTTTTAGAATGCTTTACCTATTAAACCTTGGAAAGGAGTAAAAGATGCTACCGAAGAAGGTCCTGTTTCGTTGCAAGCCGGTTGCCTTCCTGACGAAATCAAGGGTTCAGAGGACTGTTTAACTCTCAACGTATTCACAAAGAAGGTAATTAAGCCAATGGTATTTAAAAAAATTACATTTTTAAATTTTTGTAGCTATCTGAGGATGGGTGTCATATGTTACCAGTTATGGTGTGGATCCATTCAGGGGGCTTCAAAGTGGGTTCTAAAAATAAAGTTGAACATGGACCAGAACATTTAATGCTTGAAGACGTAGTATTAGTGTGTATAAATTACCGTTTAGGAATATTGGGTGAGATTTGCGTCTTGAACAATGTATAGATACTTATAACAAAAAATTAACAGATGCCTAGGTTAGTAAAATGTAATGAACGTTTTTAGGATTCCTAAACATTGTTGATACTTCTTTGGGCATACCAAGTAATGTTGGCGTGAAAGACCAAATTGAAGCTTTACGGTGGGTTCGGCGAAATATAAAATATTTCGGAGGAAATTCCAAGAATGTTACTCTATTTGGAAACAGCGCAGGAGGGAGCTCAGTGGAACTACTACTACACTCCCCTTTGGCCGATGGGCTATTCCACAGGGCTATAATGCAAAGCGGATCCATGCTGAATCCTTGGGTCTTCGGTAATTGTCGTGTTTTAGATTTTATGAAGTTTATAGGAAAGAGCTGTAGTACGGAAAAAGAAGCTGTGGACATTTTAATGACAATGCCAGGTCAAGAATTGTGTAAACATCAAATTAACTTTTGCAAGGTACGTTGTTAATATTAATTTTTAACAAAATATTATTTTCATAGCTTAAATTGTCTAACGGAGACAGAGATAAAAAGGTCTGTTTATTGTTATTCCGTTGTAATTAGTTATATTATGAATAATTTGTTGTAGGTGAATACATTTCTTTGTTTTAGTTATCAGGAAAACCTTTTGGTCTAGAGGTCCTTGGTATAGTAGTCGAACCCCCACACGACGGAGCTCTAATAACTAAGCCTGTTCTAGAGCTAATAAAAAGTACTAATTGCAATAAAGTACCAATAATGCTTGGCTTTGCGGTGGATGAAGGATTAGTCTTTAAGTGTTGTAATTTGTTCGAGACTGTTGTTAAAAAAATCGACAAGCAAACAAGATTTATTTGAAATGTTTCTACCTTCGTATATCAAAGAGTCTAAACTTAAAGAAGATGTTTGTACGAAGTTAATCGATTATTACTTTAAGGATGAAAACGAATACAATACATATAAGGTAACATTTGTAGCTGTTTATGTTATTTTATTATTATTAACGAAGTAAGTGTTTTATGCTTATGGCTTGGAAGTACGGGTATCTGTACTAACTTGTTTTTATACTTATTGTGTGGTAGTCCAGGTATTTGTATAATCTTGTACAGATCTAGTGGATGGATACCATATCTTTTTGAAGTAACTTGGTAGTCTCCAAACGGTGTTTACCAACTGCGATCTAATACCTCGCAGTTATGCAATATATGGTTGACTATTTCAGGTTCTCCATTACAGAGTCTGCAGCTTAGAGGTACGTCCAAGATGAATGCTGGTAGTCAGATTCAGATTCTCTGACTCAGGCTGTTTGACTCCAAAGTGCGGGTAGGATATGGCAACTATGAACGCTGATTTTCCACGCTGAGAGTGTAGAGCATTGTTTAATCAGTGTAGCATGGAACTTACAAAAGAACATGCTGCAACTCTTTTACTGCTTAGTGACAATGTTTTAACAAAATTGAAACTCAATCAGAGAAAGCCGTGACTACATGGACAAAAAATGCGAAGGTATGGGAGTACCGGTACGAAACGAATACCTATATACGTTAAGCTTTGCAGACGATCAAGTAGTGATTGCACAAGACCAAGATGACCTCAGCTACATAATGAAGAAATTACAAGAAGAATATACCAAGGCTGAAGAAGAAGACATAGAAGATCTTTAGATTGATGACAACGTAACAATCAGAGGAAAGGATAAATTCAAATACTTGGGGTTTATAATCGACACCGACTAGGCGAGGAGCACACTACTTGGGGTGTAGGGTTGAGTTATAGAGGTAGCACCTTTTATCGGAACGACCACATCGAGCGTCATAGACGGGAGATGGTTCTTGATAACTGGTCCTCATAAGGCAACTAACTCTCACTTATGGCTCCACGTGCCACACCCCGGGCAACTGCATTGATCTGCAGGCTAAACTAAGTGAGGGTAGCCAGATATGGCGAAAATTTCACCGAGCGATTGCCGGTATAAGCAATCCCACACTTACTGACCAACGGCTTCGGGCGGATGAGTTGGTAAGTGTTAGGGCACTTTTTTGTCCTGAGACCGAGAAATCGATCTCGAAGGCGGATGAACCCTACAGAATGGTCAACGGCATAAGGATGCAGAAGGAAACGGGGAACCACTGCATTAAAGACTCATAGAGTACCCCTAGTAGTAATCATCATGGTAGACATGCAAAGGAAAAGTACTGATCATGGACATCGGATACCAAGATCCGGCAGAGAAAGAGAAATAGATAAGTACAAGGCTTTCTCGGTCGTAAACCAGCGAAACCCTTGTAAAAAGAAAAAGACAACCATAAAAATTGCTACATGGAATGTAAGGAGCTTATTCTCTTCGGGAAAATTAGATAACGTCGTGTTGGAAATGGATCGTTTGGGTATAGGCACATTAGGCATGAGCGATACACAATGGCCAGGAAACGGCAAATGTCCCACAAATAATCATGCTATGTTTTATTATGCCGGAAGTGACACCAAAACCCATCGATACGGAGTAGGAGTCATCATCTCAAAAAAATGGAAAGATGCTGTAGTAAACTTTACTCCATTCTCAGAGCGCGTGATGTTAATAAAATTAAAAGATAAGAAGAACATGATAAACATCATACAAGTGTACGCTCCTACAGCAGACAAAGACGAAGAGGAAATAGAACAATTCTATAATATCTTAGAAGAGGTGATGAGAACAGCAAAGAGACAACACATTAACATAGTAATGGGCGATCTGAACGCCAAGGTAGGTCAGGGTAAAGTTGGAGAAAATGTCGGTGAATATGGCTTAGGTAATAGAATTGAGAGGAGTGATCGTTTAGTTCAGTTTTGTCAAAGCGAAGATTTAATAATAACTAATACATTCTTTAAACTACCCCCAAGGCGACTATATACGTGGACGTCACCTCAACATACACAAGAAAAAGTGGTCAGAAACCAAATAGATTACATATTGGTGACAAAAAGATACCGTAATGCCGTAAAATCTACTAAAACTTTCCCTGGAGCTGATATCGGTTCGGATCATAATCCAGTAGTATCTGTGATAGAAGCTAGACCAAAGAAAATAAGAAAAGCCATCATTCCAGCATTAGACTTAAGCCAGCTTAAAAATGAACATCTACGACAAACAGTGCGAGAAGAAATAAACACCAGCCTCAGTGAAGCAGAAAGCCAAATCCGCAGAACAGACAACATAGATGAAAAACTTAAGTATATAAATACTATAATAAGAACTACGGGAAAGAAACACCTAACCAAATCTGCAAAGATACATAAGGTGTGGATGACACCAGACATTCTAGAACTAATGGATGAAAGACGTAAAATGAAGAATAATGCAGAAAAATACAGAGAGGTTGATAAGAACATAAAGCAAAGAATAAGAAATGCCAAAGAATCATGGATTACAGAACAATGTGTAGAAATGGAAAACTATGAAAGAAAGTATGACACGTTCAATATACATAAAAAAGTAAGAGAAATTACAGGAACCCAAAGTAGACGTCAAATAAGTTTGCTTAAGAACAAAGATGGAAAGATTATTATAGATTTAACAGAGAAAATTAATAGATGGAGTGAATACATAAGAGAATTATTTGAGGACAACAGAAATAACATTGTTCTAATATATGGCGAAACGGGACCTGAAATTCTAAAATGTGAAGTAGAAATGGCACTTAAAAATTCCAAAACTGGGAAGGCAAATCCTACCGAATTGCTTAAGCTCTTGAATGATGAATCAATAGGTATAATATTGCACTTATTTAATACAATATACAATACTGGTATTATACCTCAAGAGTGGCTGTTGTCTACATTCGTTACGCTGCCAAAGAAATCTAATGCTAAAGAATGTTCAGAACATCGAACAATATCTTTAATGAGCCACCTACTAAAGATCTTCTAAAGACCTTCTAAAAATCATCCACAACCGAGTTTATCAAAAGTTGGAGTCAGATATTAGTAATACACAGATGGGGTTCAGAAAAGGGCTTGGTGCTCGAGAAGCTCTCTTCGGTTTGAATGTTCTTACACAAAGATGCCTAGACGTTAATCAGGAAATACATACGTGTTCTATCGATTTTGAAAAGGCGTTTGACAGAGTACGCCATGATAAGCTTAGAGAGATTCTTGAAAGGAAGGACATAGATAATAAAGATCTGCGAATAATTCTCAATCTATATTGGAATCAGAAAGCTAACATCAAAATAGAAACTGAAACATCACAAGCAATAGAAATACGTAGAGGAGTACGACAGGGTTGCGTTTTGTCACCTCTGTTATTTAATGTATATAGTGAAAGCATCTGTCAGGAAGCCCTTTTACAAGCAAACGGAGGAATCGTAATTAATGGAGAGATTGTAAATAATATTCGATACGCGGACGACACTGTACTAGTTGCAAGAACAGTAGAAGAATTACAAAGATTACTTACAGGCATAAATATTGCTTGCAACAATTATGGTATAAATATCAATATTAAAAAAACCAAGTATATGGTCTTCAGTAAAAACATGACACAACCAGCGTATTAGTATAAACGGCACTCAAGTTGAAAAAGTATCAAATTACAAATACTTGGGAACTTTAATAAACGAAACTGGAGACCAAAACAGTGAAATAAAAAGACGTATATCGAAATTGTCAGGCCACCTTCATAAAGATGAGAAAATTCTTCTGCAACAGAAATATAAGCATCCCTCTACGATTAAGAATGCTGAAAGGCTATGTATTTAACACGCTATTATACGGTGTAGAGGCCTGGACTCTCAAACAGAACAACATGAAAAATATTGAAAGTTTCGAGATGTGGTGCTACCGTCGAATGCTGAAGATTAGTTGGGTTGAAAGAATAACAAACTGTAAAGTAATACGAAGAATAGGAAAAGACCCAGAGATTTTGTTACCGCTAAAGCGAAGAAAACTCGAATATTTTGGTCACCTGATGAGAGGACATAAATACGCACTACTTCAAAATATAATGCAGGGAAAAATAGAAGGAAAACGGAATCCAGGCCGTAGAAGAATGTCATGGTTGCGGAATTTGAGAGAGTGGTTTGGCTGCACCACTAATGAACTCTTTAGGTCAGCCGTAAACAAGGTCAGAATAGCCTTGATGATTTCCAATCTCCGACAGGAGTGGCACAAAAAGAAGAAGAAGGCGAGGATCGACGACGGCTGCCTGAATCCGAAAACCAGCATTCATCTTGGACGTACCTCAAAGCCGACTATGGACCCAATTATTCTGTAGCTTATCTTCTTGCAACTTCACCAGCTTTTTCTAATTCTGATAATATTAGATGATAGCATCTCTCTAAAATAGTCAAATTGGACAGAATAACCTACATATTTTGGGAAAATGCGGGGAAGCGGCTGAACGTATTATCTGCAACTATAGGACAATTGTTCGCCCTACCTAAATACCATGTTGTCTATCACTACTACCTTAAATAGAGTAACTACTACTTTAAATAGAATAAAATAATCGTAAAATAATTTCGAAACACAATTCAGATTTCTGCTTTATAAGCTGAGCCTTCTAAGAATTGCAAGGCAAACAGACGTTGATAAAAGATGTTAAAAGAGACATGGGGAATCTAAAATTTGCATTCCACGACATGTCTTTTACAACTAAGCAGAAATCCTTAGCGAATTGTGCTTCTTGTACTCCCACAGAGTAAATCCGAATAAAATGAGAAAAGGCAGCAAATATTTGATTTCACGCAAACAAATCCTATGTATCTCTTGATACGTATTTCGACCTAATAGGTCTCGTCAGAAGAGCTATTCATAGGGTTTCTCAACGTGAAAAATCAATATTTTCTGCCTTTTAAGATGCAACAATAACATGGCTTCGATACGGACGCACTAGCGACATCTAATTTAACAATCGTAAAATAATTTCGAAACAAAATTCAGATTTCTGCTTTATAATCTGAGCCTTCTAAGAATTGCAAGGCAAACAGACGTTGATAAAAGATGTTAAAAGAGACATGTGGAATCTAAAATTTGCATTCCACGACATGTCTTTTACAACTAAGCAGAAATCCTTAGCGAATTGTGCTTCTTGTACTCCCACAGAGTAAATCCGAATAAAATGAGAAAAGGCATTTTAACATCTTTTATCAACGTCTGTTTGCCTTGCAATTCTTAGAAGGCTCAGATTATAAAGCAGAAATCTGAATTGTGTTTCGAAATTATTTTACGATTGTTAAATTAGATGTCGCTAGTGCGTCCGTATCGAAGCCATGTTATTGTTGCTTCTTAAAAGGCAGAAAATATTGATTTTTCACGTTGAGAAACCCTATGAATAGCTCTTCTGACGAGACCTATTAGGTCGAAATACGTATCAAGAGATACATAGGATTTGTTTGCGTGAAATCAAATATTTGCTGCCTTTTCTCATTTTATTCGGATTTACTCTGTGGGAGTACAAGAAGCACAATTCGCTAAGGATTTCTGCTTAGTTGTAAAAGACATGTCGTGGAATGCAAATTTTAGATTCCCCATGTCTCTTTTAACATCTTTTATCAACGTCTGTTTGCCTTGCAATTCTTAGAAGGCTCAGATTACAAAGCAGAAATCTGAATTGTGTTTCGAAATTATTTTACGATTGTTAAATTAGATGTCGCTAGTGCGTCCGTATCGAAGCCATGTTATTGTTGCTTCTTAAAAGGCAGAAAATATTGATTTTTCACGTTGAGAAACCCTATGAATAGCTCTTCTGACGAGACCTATTAGGTCGAAATACGTATCAAGAGATACATAGGATTTGTTTGCGTGAAATCAAATATTTGCTGCCTTTTCTCATTTTCTCATAGAATAAAATAATTTACAATTTATGTAGTCAGCCGGAGTTAAAATCCACCTTTTTTAAGTCACTTATGGTTTTTCCTAAAGGGATTAGAATAAGCTTCTATTTAGTCAGAAAATCTACTGCCGGTTTGCTTTTGTTTTCCATATAAGCCGTCTGTTGTAAACCGGTCGTACTGTAGCCAGTTGGCTTATTGTACATCTTTCATTCACTAATGATAGCAATTCCAGGATTTTTCAAGCCTGAACCAGTTTATATAAATCTAGAGGGTTAATGTTTTGGAATCACTCGACTGTCTCTGAAAGGAAATGTTTTTATATTCACTTGATAGTCCCTGAAAAGTGTTTGCCGCCTGCGACTTAATGACTCGCAATCATGCAAGATATGGTTGACTGTTTGAGGTCCTCCTCCATAGAGTCTGCAATTCAAGTCTCCATGAAACAGTACTATTGTACGCTGGTCTTCCTTGGCTGGCTTGATGTCCAGTAAGAAACCCTTTTAAAATTCAGGTTCCTGCTCATTTTTGAAAAGTGAAAATTATATTGTGTTCCGATCTACACTTTATTCTAGTCGCAGACGGTGTTTTTGGAAGTCCCACAGCTTCTCTGAACCGAAGTATTTTGTAGCCGATGCATGTAACTGTGAGTTTTATCTTTCTAGTTCGTATTTGTAACTTCATAGTCGTTTTCCATAGAAAAAAACTATTTAATTGTAAACTTTTTACTTATTACTTGTTGAGGCAAAAATTTCGGTTTTTAAAATAGTTCTTACCAAGTCTGTGTTGGTGGCCATGGTTATTTTTTAATTTCAATACCAGTTGTCAGTTTAGAACGTTTTTGCTTAGTGTAGTAATTCTTCAGTTAGTTCAACGCTTTCTGAAGTAGAGTTATGATTATGTTCATAATAATCATCATAATAACCCTGTATGGACCTTAGCCTCCTCAAGAGGCGTCCCCATCCATAGTTTTCCTCCGCCAAGCACGTATTCCAATATTTCTCATGTCTTCATCAATATTATCAAGTTTTATCGAGCTTTTTCTACCTGACTCGCTTTGTTCCATCAGCTTTATATGCCCTACCCACCTGAGACGTCCTACCTTAATATATTTTACGATATTTGGTTCATGATATGTTCTGTAAATTTCAAAGTTATATCGTCTTCTGCACACTTCATTGTCATTGTTTTGAAACATTCCAACATGTTTCCATTACTTTTTGTTAAAGTCCAGGTCTCTGAGCCATACAATAGGATTGGGCGTATTACTGTTTTGTTTGAGTCTTATCTTTGTATCTCTTAAGTATAAACGTTTCTTAACTGTCTACTAAAAAAACTAGATCATGATTTATCATGATCATGATTTGTGTCAACGTTAAGTACTACTGCTACTACTCCACATAAAATGTTTTCCAGTTCATTAAAATGATTTTTTTTCTTTCATACTATACTCGTTATTTATTACTGTTGGGACACATTTGCAATATTATTCATTACTCTGGGATAAATACGTCCCGGGCATTTTTTTCAAAACTAGTTTATGCAAAAATTTCAAATTCAGGATTTATGTTTTCTAACTACATATATTTAAAATGGAAGATACAATAAAATGTATAAAGTCGCATTGAAAGGATGAGATTCCAAGGGTCAAAAGATGAAGGAAAGTTGCTGGGAATCGACGGGATTGGTGATTTCTTTGAGAGCAAGCTAAAATCCACAAAGGAAGGTTGAGTCAATTATGACGATGATGATTCTTATTTACTGCTTGTAATGTATTATCATTTGTTTAGTCAAAAAACTTACCTGTGATGTAGCTATAAGCTAAATAAAATAAATCAGTATAGATCAATTTGGATCTTAGTGTAAATCTTTCTCTTCAAAAGTGACCCTCAAAATTACTAATGGACCCCTAAAACTAAAACTTATAACTTTGAAATGCTATTCAGTATTTTTAATTGCTCTAAACCGATGCACTTAATGTACATAATTATTTATTTGTTCTTGTTTTAGTTTGCCGGAGATATCTATTTTATTATGGGAATTTTGGCGTCTGCTAAGCATTATATAAAGAAGAAAGGCAACCCTGTTTATTTGTATAAATTATCTCTTGATGCGGGATTAAATGCGTGTAAAATTGCAAGTAAAATTGAAATTCCGGGTAAGTTTCTCTGGAGAAAGATGATTATATTCTTTTTGTTACCTTTTTTGTTTAATATATTTTAATAAACTTAAACTAACAACACATATTTATTCTTCTATTTATGTACTTTATCGCCATAATTATTTATCAATTTTCACTGTTTCTTGTTTTATGTTTTTCTTTGATCTCGCCATCTCATTACTTTTAATATTCCATGTTGTAAGGTAAAAGTTCCTGATATTTTGAAATTAAATGTGGCCAAAGTGAGTGCAAAAAGTTGAAGAAAACTTACAAAACGTATGAGTTAGGGAATGACAGCAAAAAATTACACAGGAAAAATGGAGAGACATATTTAAGAAGATAATATAAGCAAAAAAACTGTTCCTTCCAAGAAATAGAATTAAGAAAGCTTTTGAGACTTAATTGCAAAGATTAAGATTTTAATTATCAAGAAATATATCAGATTGTTACAGATTTCTCGTTAATTATAAAGGAAAATGTAAGTACTATAAAGTCACTGCTCAAACCCTAAATACCTAAGTAATTTTCATTCGCTGCCGTTGAATCTTTTTGCTTTTACAAAGTACCTATCTATTTTTTTAAATATCCGTCGCTCACATCCTCCTGAAAAAACTTCCCAATTTTTCGAGCGCATTAACAGCATCTCGTTTACCTACTGTGCACTTAACTGGGGTTGTAATCACAACTTTTGTCATCGTCACCTACCATTTTATTCGTTTCGGATGATAAAGTAGCCATTGCAGTTGTAAAAGGAACCTTCTAAAAAAGAAACACCTAAGGTCTTCCGTCCCCTGGATCTGGAAAGCTGCGAACTGCGAAGGAGCGAATTCGGACGAATACCGTTATAACTGAATCGTGCGAATGCCGATCGTCTATTACCTCAGTATTCATCCGAACTCTATGATGTAATGATGGCTCTACGGAACGACCTTTCTGATTCTGATAAAGAATTTTTTTTTTTGGAACAATCCTCTTTGATTCATCGACGTGTCAGGCAATATAGACGAAGAAGAGACGCGTGGGTAAATCCTATTTACAATAGGATAAATAGGTACAATCTCAAGTCGACGAAGATCACAACTTCTCACTATTGTCGAATGAAAAACGACACCTTCCTAAGAATACATTCTTAGCCTTCTTCATATACATGGAAATTTTATTTCAGTAGAAACTTCCTTCCACAAATGCTATTGTACATTTCGTACCTGGTTTCTATTCGCGTTGATCCCACAGCTATTTTCTCTCCAGTATGAACAAAATTAACCGTTCATGGTCCATTGTGCCAATCTCGCCTGATTCAAGTTTCGCACTATTTCGCTATTAGCACAGAATACTAATCACAACCTTAGTATTCTGTGCTATTAGATTCCAACAGGCTGGGATCGGATCCGGCATCGTCCGAATTCGGACGAAAACGTACGAACGGTACGGGCCCAGTGGACGCGCTCATCTGCTAGCCACGTGTTTGGATCTTTCGTCCGTTTTCGACTGAATTCGGACGAATTGATTTCGCAGCTTTCCGGATCCAATGGACGGGAGGCCTAAAATTCAGATTTGGAATTTATAGTAACTCAGACAAATCAGACAGTTAGATTTAGAGAAATGAGAGAATTTCAATTTGATAGAAGTGTTTATGTAGTATTTTTCACGGTAAAATCATTTCACGTCACAATTTATAAAAACTTACGACTGACGTCACTTGGATTTAAAATTTCCATTTCCATCAATTTAACATCAACCTTAGAGTTCAAATCTTCCTAAAGCACAGCTAAAAATACGACATCCATATGGAGCTGACCGATCTTTCATAGGCGTTAATATGGTATTATAAAAGAAAAATCTAATCGTGATTACATTGAGAATTTTAGAATTAAAAAGCATTTCTTATTATTAATAGTATACATTTTATGCAACAATTGATTAAGTTTAGTAATCAAAAAAATAATCATTCCCTAATAGCACACGTACGTCCAATGGACGTCCATTTAAATGGATTTAACAATTGTACGCCAGTGATACCTACGGGTATAAATGAAACTCAAATGACATTTGGGTATGTGGCCAGAATGCCGACAGCGTTGACGATAATTTACAATCTTATAGTAGAATTCTGTTTGTTTCTTTTCATTTGTGTATCAAATTGATTCCCTGACTTTAATAAATTGTATTTATAAATATGTACATATTAAATTAAATACTAGTAATTTTCCTTTTATTTGGTAATCAGTCAGAGACCTTCTTCAGGTCAATAAAACAAATTTACTTTATATTGTTTTAATTATCATCCATAGTGTGATGTGATATCTTTTTTATCTCTACCTATACTGTGTAACCCTTATGGTGGTCTTCTTGTTTGTTTTTTCTATCTGAATTTATTCGTTATATCCTCCCCTTTCATTTGCTATTTTGATTATTTTGGACTTAGCCAGAGGCCTTCTTTAAGTCAATAAATCAAAATTTGTCTTAAATATTTTTTATCCATAGTGCCCTATGATATTTCGTATGTAGCTATACCTTCATTAATAATGTAGATACCGTATAATGCCCTTTTGATAGCCGCCTTGATTGTTTTTTCTATCTTAATATATTTGATATTTCCTCCCCTTTCATTTAGCATTACACGCTTCAATCGGGACCAACAAAAACGGAAATATGATATAATGACCTTTTGGCAATGCTGCCATGTGTGTTTTTCAAGGGTTTTTCTATCTCAAAATATTCGCTATCCCCACTCTGTTTTAATGATGTATCATACCTTACGATCCGACGAACTATTTTACACCCACCACAACACTAAAACAATATTTGAATCATCAATACGACTTTTTATCACAAAATAGTGTTAGCCTTTCTTTCCGTAGTTTCCATTCCATACAGTTTTTATCTTTTTGTTGGATCGGTATTCATCCGAAGTACCGCAGTCGTACTAAGATGGTGTAGAAATCAACACACATTACAACATACATAAAGTACAATAAATCTATTGGTTGTAATACGACAAAAATGTCAAGAATGCTAAAATAGACTATAAATACCTAATTTTAGTACTACTAATTTAGATATATTTCAGAAACATATTCCGTTTTAGGTACATGCCACGGTGACGAATTAGGATACTTATTCAAACAAGATGTGTCCAATTTAATAATGGGTGATTTAGAACAAGCGGTATTAAGAAAAATGGTAAAACTATGGACAAATTTTGCCAAATACGGCAATCCAACTCCATTTAAAGAAGAATTAAATCTAGAATGGACCCCTTCCAATATCAATTTATCCTATTTAGACATCGGAGAGAAGTTTGTGATGGAGTCAGACATTCAAGAACCTATAGATTTGTGGAAAGATATATATGTGACTCTCTTCCAAGATTAATTGTTTTGTTTTAAATAAATCCCAATCAATAAAACTTGATACTCTTTAGCTTTATTTGGTATTGAGGCATATATTTATAAACTCCAATTATGTATGCAATATTTTAATTCGATCCAATTTGTCTTTATTTGCTTCCTTAATATGTATGTAAAAGGTCCGAATCATGGGCGTCCGCAGGATCAAAACTATAGGGGAGCAGATTTGAGAAATAAAAAAAAATTATTAGATAAACAATAATAAATATAGACGTAAATTGAGTCTTCACTTAGAGAGGAGAGGGAAAAAGGGTTTTCGGAAAAAGAGAACAAGGGTCGAACTGTAGTTACAAGCAAAAATATTTTGAAATTGTTTCACTACCAAAGTGCTCAAACATTTTCACAGAATTTTGGAAGATGGAGAGTCGGAACATTTAAAATACTTACCTCTTTGGTTGCTTAAAATCTGATAAAGTGAAACAAAAGACTAAACAAGATGTTCCTTTCAGGCGACATTGGACAATCTAGTATTCAGTGGTAGATTCCTGAGAAAGAAAGATAGTGTGCAAAAAGACACTTATGAATATCCATGGCTTACAAGGCAGTAGGAGAGGGATAGAGAACATGGTCGCTTATATTGTAAAGGAACGAAATGGCCGGGATAAGGGAGGCCGTCATAAATACCACAAAAGAAAATGCTACGACGAGTAATTAAAGAGTTCATTGTATTATCGAAACATTGCGAAAATTCCAAAGTCGTTATTAAAAGAGTGACAACCCAAATCGAATGCTAATGACAATGGAATATACTATAGAATCCTGCTATAAAGTGTATCAGACTGAGTGTCTAGAATACCAAAGAATACCTGTTTCCCTAGATAAATTTCGACGAATATCTTCCGAAAATTACAATATATCAGTTAAAGCAGTTGGCTGCAAAACTAGAGCTGCATTACGAAAAAGCTAAAACTGTGCCAGATGTACTTGGTAAAGCAAGAAAAGAAGCACTGGAAAATCAAGGGATATAATGTAATATTGTGTTATAATTTCAGTATTTATTAAGTGCATTATCCTTTACGCGGCACCAGTCTAGACTGAGGAGATAAAGATACCTACCTACAAAGGGCTTATGATACGAGTTGAACAATACGTATGAACAAAACATGTCTCTTGCGACTAGAATGAGCCTAAAGGACTATATCTGCGGCTAACTTGTGGACTATCACGGGTTGTGTTCCTCTGCATGTGTTAGCAGTAGAAAGGAGATGGAGTGGAGCAAAACGGAAGATGTTCCTAAATGGATCAAGATGCTGATCCCGCACCTAAGCGACTGGATGGACTGTGATCACAGGCGACTGGACTACTTCCTGACGCAAGTTCTCACAGTACATGGGTGTTTAAGGACACATATCTTCATAGATTCAGAAAGACAGATACAGATAAATGTCTATACTGTGAATACTCTGACATTGTTACTTACACAATGCTGGAGTGTAATAGATGGATAGTAGAGAGAAACAAAATGTATAGAGAAAAAGGTATGAACCCTGTTACTGTGAGAGAGATGATCGTGAAGACGCCGAGAAGTAAGCAGGGATGGAATATTGTTCATAATTACATTTGAACACTAATTAAAAAGAAATAAGAACAAAAAACACCAGACTGACCAACGACAGATATAAGATATAGATAAGAAGAGGGACTGCTCCGAAAATATCGTTAGCCTACAGCGGCCATCTCGCTTTCGGACTACGGTACGTGCGAAAGTCAACTGCTAACAAGTAGAAGAGGGTGGTTTTAGTTGGTAGGTAGGATAACAGGAAGGCATCTGTTTGCAGGACCTCCTTTTATCTAAAGAGAAATGGGCTCGGATATACTTCTCTATCCTGAATCCAAGTGTTAAGCTGGTACGGTTTTTGGAAATTTTCACCCTCAGAAAGAGCAAAAAAAGGTTTATAGGATTGCACAAGAGGATTTAAAAAAAATCAATAGATTGCGCGAATATTTTTAATAACCAACTTCACCAACATTAAGTATCATAAATACAGTAAGAATGGAGTTTTCTTGCAGAAAATTTATTAATTTACATGTTTTCTTACACTTACCATGGTCCAGTTACTGTTTTATTGAAAAAGAGAGGCCGAACTACTTCTTTTAAAGCTTCTTTCAAATCAAATAAATAAATACAATTCACCTCTCGAAATCGAAAATTTGAAATATAAGCATGTTACGTTTTTTTCATAATTTTTTTTCGCTTATTACAGCTTCTGGTAGAAGAAAATATTATTATTTTTAATAAACGTTTGTAGATACGTGCCTACAAATTTTAGAAGGTCTCCTATAATTGCGAAATGTGCTACCGGCTTAGTGTAAAATGTGGTAATAAGTTGCTACTACATATTTTATTAATTTAAAGTTAAGCGGATTTATTTATATAAAATAATTTTGCAAAACCTAAACTTGATTTTATTCAAAATGATGTTTTTGTCACATACCAGATTTTACACTCGAACCCCTTATTTAGAATTAAAAAAAAAACTAAATGATAGAACGAAAACTTATATAAAGAGGTAGAGATTTATTGGTATATTTCGCAAAATACTATTTCTAGGTAAAATAAAAATAATGTTCCAAACCATGGTAGAATGCACAGAAGGTCTACAAAAACTATTAAAAAATCTGCAGCAAGCAAAGAACTCGTCGATATAAAAAGCAATCTTTCGTGCTTTACCACTGACGTCATTGGTTCTGTTGCATTCGGTGTGGATATTAACAGTATGCAGAATCCCGACTCTGATTTCCGAAGTTACGGTAACAAAATATTCACACATACAACTTTGGTCAGACTTAAATTCATTTTCTTGTCTATCTGGTCACAATGGTTAATTAAAAAAAGTGGCATTAAACTATTTTCCAAAGATCTTGAAGACTTCTACTTAAATTTAATAAGAGACACTGTTGAATACAGAGAACAAAACAATATCATTCGAAAAGACTTTCTGCAACTTCTTATCGAATTAAAGAACAGTCTGACTATAAAAGAAATGGCGGCTCAGAGTTTCGCTTTTTATGCGGCTGGATTTGAAACTTCTTCTACTACCATGTCATTTGCCGTGCTGGAACTCTCTCAACGTCAAGATATCCAAGACCAACTTAAAAAAACTTGCTTCATTTATTATAATATTTACCTTATCTTTTGCTTCATGACTACTGGTATCAGGTACTGTAAGCTCTTTTTGTATTATATCAAGTATATTCTGAATTAAATTATAGAAACTCTTCGAAAACATCCCCCTCCAGGAATTCTCCCAAGCATTTGCAACAAGACCTACAAACATCCCAGCAGTGATTTAGTTATAGAAGTAGGTACCAGGATAAATCTACCAGTCTACGCTATACACAGAGATCCAGATTACTTCGCAGATCCAGACAAGTTTGATCTAGAGAGATTCAGCGATAAAAACAAGGCAAACATGACGCCATTCTCGTATATGCCTTTTGGAGAAGGACCTCGCACGTGTACAGGTACGAGTAATCTTTATAGAAATACGTTTTATTGTATTACTTAATATATTTTTGTAGGAATGCGGTTTGGAAAGCTACAGGCTAAAGTAGGATTGTGCTGCGTATTACGAAACTACAAAGTGACGTTGAACGAGAAAACTAAAGTACCGATAACCTACCGTTCTGGTTTTGTTTCAGCTGTTGAAGGAAGTCTCTGGGTAAATTTAGAGCCTCTTAAAATGTAAACAAAGTTCACATAAAATTAAAAAGTTACTTAATGAAGTTTTATTTTTCACCAAATAAATAATGTAAGGTTCGTTACGATGGTGCTTCAATAAATTAAGACAGCACTTAAATTTCGAATTTCTTCTTATTATGTGTAAATCCTGACATTTGTGATTTTAATAAAAGTTCTGGAACTCTTCGCGCGTTTTCACACATATCTTCCTGATAGGCCTGATGGTGTCCCAAAAGGGATTAGGACTGAGGAGGAGGTGGAGGATTTGGCACTACACGTTTGATAAAAATCCATTATCTTTTCTACACTCTATTCTTGCTGTATACCGGTTTCTAGCTTTTCCTTCATTGTATCCCTTACGTGTTGATGAACTAAGGGGTCTTTTAAGATATCATAATCCAGGTTTTCTTTCGACTTACTCTTGATAAGTTTCTTTAGTTTAAGTTAGCGACAAAGCTTTTTTAGTGGTTGTTATACGAAAACAAAGCGTAAAAGTAAGTAAACGACAGGATCTGGATCTGGAAGAACAAACATCGAAGACAAGAATCTATAAAGCAGCAATTAGACCTATATTAACATACACGGCGGAGATAAGTCCTGACACATCTAAAACGAGAAGACTACCAGAAACAACAGAAATGAAAATACTCCAGGGAATATCAGGGAAAAGTATGTTGGATAGGGAGAGAGGCGAAAACATAAGAAGAGCATGCACTATAAAAGACATAAATGGATGGGTAAAAAAATGGCGGAGGGTAGGATAGTACGAATAGCACGAGATAAGTCACCAAATGAACGAAGAAGTATTGGCAGACCAAGAAAAAGATGGTGCGATCATTTAACCAATGTAAGAGACTGAGATTGAAGAAGAAACGGGATTTAAAATAAGGACTAAGTTTCGGAGTACACATCCAAAAGATAGTAGAGAAGGCGAACCGAAATGTGGAGGCGTTGATACTACTGATGCCAAACATTGGAGGTCCAGGTAGCACGAAGAAAAGAAAGGTTTGGAAATGGAGTTTTCCATTCGGTGGTAACCTACGCTGCCCTCGTCTGATGTAACATACTAAACACTAGGAAATACGCTAAGCTGATGGAGACTTCGCAAAGACGAATGCTCGTCAGGGCATCTAGCGCATATAGAACAATTTCAAATGAGGCTCTATATGTCAATGGAGCAGTGATACCGATCGTTTTGTCGTGTAAAGAGCGAGCGAGGATGGATGTAAATATAGATGAGAATGACAGAGAAAGACCGATAGTAGAGCGGCAGAGAGAATGGTCGAATAATAGTGGAAAGGCAAGGTAGACGAAGGAGCTTATTCCCAATCTGAGATCGTGGTGGGAATTTAAGTTCAGGAAACTACACTACTTCCTGACGCAGTTTCTCACCGGATATGGTAGTTTTGGCACCTTCACAAATAGAATAGGTACATCTGCCTAGGCAGATTGTACTGTTTGTGGTTTCGGGCAGGATGAAAGAAACATTGTAAACATAATGTTGAGAGGAGAGAAAGAATGGAGAGAAGTATACTGTCTAATTTCTGGGGCGATGAAGAAAAATGAACAGAAGGACAGGGATTTTATGATTTACGGTAATAGGTATGGTTATTTATAAATTTTTAGGTTTTTATTTTAGTTGTTTATTGAGTGGAAATACCACCTCTCTGGAACGGTGGTTAAGGTTTTAGCCGGAACACGGTAAATCCGGCACTACCCTGGGGTTTTCTGGTCTAGTATCCTACTCAACTTAAAAATGCCAGGGTGTCTTGTTCCGTGACAAGTATATATCAGTCAAACAAAATATCACTTCTTTCTAAAAGAAAATTATTACACACCTGAGCATGTCATCTATGAATCCTATGACAAGGTACCTCAAGGGGATATTCTAGATCAGCTTGTTGGTACATATACATGTATGAGGAAGACAAATCGCTGGGTTTTTTATAATATGCTAAAATTTTCTACCTACAGCTGATTTTCTAGGTACCATTATTATAAAAACAAATTACAATACCTTTCTAAATTAGGTATTATATAAGAATAAAATAAACTAAAAGGTAGTCAACGTTTTTATTAAATATAATTTTTAAGTTTTTTACAGTCTTGAAATAGCCGTTTCTAGATTAGTATTACATTTTGTCACGGCATTAGCGTTCTTTTGTGGGAAAGAGTTTATCGAAAACACCGAAGGCATAGCATTCACTATACCACTGACCACTAGACAGTCTTAATTCTCTAAAAATATTTTTGAAATTATCTAAATCACAATCTACGTCGCATCCAGCAACGGCGATAGAAATTGGTGGCTGTTCAACTGTTGGTTTGTAGAAGGTATTCACAAAATACCGCCCGTTGGTTTTGCTTTTCCTTAATTCGAAGAAGACACTACTTGCAAATGCTGGTGGGGATATTTCCGGGTATTTGAAGGAATGTAGGAAGCACAGGAGGTTGAAGTCGTGAAGACTGAAGATTAGGGTTTTTGCTTCCTTTTTACCTTTAATAATTTTGTCGAAATGTTCGATGATGCGATTTATCAGAGATCCCATTCCTAAATCATAAAATATACATTAACAAATCAATAATATTTAAGGTACGTTTAGAAACATTTATTTAAATTTTAATATGGCTTTTCTATAACAAACTAAATTTTAATTAATATATGACTAGGTACATCATTTTCATCAAAACGGAAGAAACGTATATCTTAAACGAGATTCTCCAACTTAGGATGAAATATTATAAGGTAAATACTACTCAATATCGCAAAACATCACAAGAAACATAAAAAATAATAAAACTGCCGATCTTAATAATTATTTAAACTTGCATCAAAACTTGCATAAATTTGCATCAAAACAGTGATATAAAAAGGTTGTAATCATAAAACATCAAGTAATCATTCTTGACAGGATTTTAAAAATTAGTTTCTTTATTAATGAATAAAACATAAACAATACTTTACAACAAGAATTTGTCCTACCAAAGAAAAATGTCATCAATATTAATAAACAATTAGAGAACCACCATTACCTCAGTCAAGAATGAAAAAAAGCTGAAAAAATCATAGAGGTACAGATAAAGGGTGTTTTTTTAGAGGTACAGAAATGTAAGTTGGTAATACTTTTTTAACTGTCGGCCATTTTCACCACTGTCAAGTGATTTATGCTAAGTTTAGTTTGGCATTTCAGCATGAATTGACTTGACGCCTGACCCAACAAATTGTACAAATTTATTTTGAAAATTGTGGTTCTGTTCGAAATACATATTGCGCACTACGTCCATTTTATGGCCAACATAATAGTCCGTTAGAGCAAGTAATTCGATTAACTATGGAACGTTTTTGCACCAAGTTTACTCTAAATGATAATATCCATTCACAGACACATCGTACAGTGCGTACAGAAGAAGTTTTTGCTGTTGTAGAGCTTAGCATACAGGAAGACCCGAATCAGTCTATCTGCCATCATGCACAGCAGTTGGATACGTGTCTAATTGAAGATACATCATCACTTAGCTATGAGTAGATTCGTAGATGTCTAGATTCGTAGGTGAGTGGGTCCAAAACGAGATTTTCATTGATTCCGATTTTCATAAGCTAATTTTATTTAGCAATGAAGCTCACTTTTGGTTTAATGGCTACGTTAAAAAAACAAAACTGCCCTATTTGGAGTCAAGATAATCCTCAAATTTATGTTAAAAAACCATTACATCCAGAAAAACTGACTGGTGTGCTTTATGGTTTTTTGGAATCATTGGACCGTACTTCTTCAAAAACGATGCTGGTCAGAACGTTACAGTCAATAATGACGACTATAGATACATGATTACTGCCTTTTTTATTCCCCAGTTTAACAGCCATGATGTGCACGAGCTGTCTTTTCAATAAGACGGCGCAACATGTCACACAGCAGGTGCCGCAATTGATTTATTGAAGGAAACGTTTGGTAACCGCATAGTTTCACGTTTCGGACTGTGAATTGGCCCCCAAGATAGTGCCATTTAAAATTACTAGACTATTTTATGTGGGAGTATGTGAAGCCTATCGACATAAAACGATTGACCACTTGGAGGACAACCTTCGCCTTGTTGTTGCCGATATACGGCAACAAATATTGGAAAAAGTGATCTCTATATTAGACTATCCCAGAGCCAGTCATGACGGTTATGTGCCAGAAATCATGTTTAAATTATAATGTCAAAAGATTATCGTTCTAATAAAGTCAATTTCATGTTAATTGATAAAAAAACATCTTTGTTTTATTCAATTTCTATACCTATAAAAAAACACCCTTTATATGAAGGAATATCGATTCAATGAACTATATCCATGTCACAAAAAAAAACAAATTTTGACCTAGATTGTTTTATAATTTAGTCGAGAAACAAATGAAAAAAAGAGAAAAAGAGGTAAATATGGAAAAACTTTCACTGTCGCAGACGAAAGACTAATTATAGTACGTACTTCCTCAATTAAATTAAAGTGCAGTACTCAATTTTCCCGACACTTTATCAATAACTACGGCTGAGATACTTCCCAGACAGATTAAAAGAGGCACATGACATAATGATAGCCAAGCTAGGAAAAAATGGCACGTTTCCACAAAATTACAGACCCATCAGCCTGCTCTCCTCGCTAAGCAAGATATCAGAAAGAGTTGAAGAGATATACTGAAAAGATTAAATGAAGAAACTCAAACTCTGGGAATAATACCAGATGCTCAATTCGAGTTCAGAAGCGAACACTCACGCGAGTTACAAGTACTCAGACTAACAGAATATATAACAAAAGGCTTCAACGATAAAATGTACGAGGCATGTTTTTTAAGTAAATACCGTTTTGCGATTCCGCCGCCGCCGCGCTACGGTGGGCGTTCCGCGCATGAGCGCTGGTTACCTACATCTCTTGTCTACGCACTGACGCCATTACAGTCTGGATTCTTCATTGTACACTTGTTTACTCCACTGTTTAAGATGCCTCCAACAATCGTGAGTCACGCTGATTGT